TATAGCTCCTAAGGGGCAGAGCTAGAGTTTGAATCCAGTGCTGAAAGACACCAGAACCAGGATCGTTTGCTCAGCTCCTGTCCAGTCCCTCCCACTGTGCAATGTGACATGAGAAAGAAGCAGTGACTGTAGAATTGAAGTGCCTCGAGACAGACTGAACCATATTCCAGCTAAAATGGAAATCGTCCTGTGTGCCCTCCCTGTGATGAGCCTAGAACACTCGAGCTGACAGCCCATTTTCTGTAGTTATCACCTTGTTCCATGTTCTCAGCCCAGCAAATCAGATCCATGTGGACTTTTAATCCCTGAAAAGTGGTGCCCCCTATCCAGAGACTCATATGTTATAAAAGAAATTTTTCAGTCATCCTTGCTTTTCAAATTGAAATTAAAATGGCATTGCTTCCCCTTCCCCCTCTCCTCCCACACTCATCCTTTGTTGCTGTGGTTTCTCCACAGGGTTGATGATGTTGTGAAAAGACTCTTATCTTTGGAAATGGCCAACCAGGTGAGTAGCCTTTGCCAAACCTCAGCCTCTCTCAGTCCTCTAGTCTGGGACTCCTCCTACCCTGGGAACACCTCCTATCCATGCTTCTCAAGTCACAGCACTTATCCCAATGTCATTCTGTGTCCACTAGTCAATACCCCCAGGCTGGGCATCTCCAGGGCAGGGACAGTCTTTTTCCCCCATGTACCCTCAGCACCTGACAAACAATAGGTACTCAATAAAGATCTAATGCCCAAACGAATGGGCAAGGTCTGGGGGCATTCATCCAACAAGCCATTTCTCCTGTCAGTGGCACTGGCCTTGGGCTCACCTAGATGTGGATAGCCATGTGGTTGGCCCAGAGGCCATATCTGATAAGCAGAGTGAAGTTGGGCCCTGAGCCTTATGGCCTAGTTGCTATGGCTGCAGCCCTGGCCTTGGAGGTCTGAGGGCTCATTCTTAGGGGGTGGCAGACTTCACAGATTCTCTGTCTCTATCTTCAACAGAAGGAGAAGCTAAAAATCAAGAAAGCTCTGTTGATGAACAAAGTGGCGGAAAATCCTGAGGACACCAGATCCCTGGAGGCTCGAAGTTGGTCAGGGGGCCCTTGGGGAGTGGGGGGATGGGGGAGTCTGCTAGCTGGTACTTGATCCAGGCCCCTCATCTACAAATACACTAATTATTAGATGCAGCTTGATAAAGGGAGAGACAGGAAGGACCAAGGGCAATGAAAGCTGGACTCTGTGTCCTGAGTCCTGTGATGCTGTTGTCAGTGCCTGGGTCCTGCCTTGTCCCTCTGTGTGCTCTCAGGCAAGATTCCTCAGGAACCAGAGCTTGTCTTTCTGTCTGTCTCCACCCTGCAGCTAAGGTGGAGGGAAGGGACATGTGGTCAGGGCCAGCATTCCCACCACACTTCTTATGGTGTTCCCAGAACCCAGCGTGTGTACTGAAGGGGCCTGCTGTAGTGATGGCCTCTCCTTGGGGGCCACCTTCTGCTTTTGCCTTTTCCCCTATCTTTGCCTTACAGGCCTGAGTCAAATAAGAAGATATCTGAAGGAAGGATATCCTGGGGCTTTAGATGAGTGGGAGCTGATATTTCTGATAACTCATTATGAAAACACAGAGATAAAGTTGGCAGCTGGAAGGGGAGCGAAAGGAGTAGTCCTTGACAGTTTGGGAATCTTATTGCAGTGGATGGGACCTCCGGGGCAGGGTTGGATCATTAACCATGATAGCATGCATCCCATGCAAATTCCTGAATTTAATAGGAAGACTAAAGTTTTACCGTTAAAAATGCTATTTGCTCAGGTTTAGGGATGATGCCTTCGTAAGATTAGGGAACTTCCCTTCCCTGGGCTTTGCTTTCTAAAGGAAAGGTAATCCAAAGTCTTTTGAGCTCATGAAATTCAGAGTGCGTTGGGGGTGGTAGAGAGCCGTGCAAGAGCTTTGGTGATTGTTATTCCTTGAGGTCTTAAAACATAACCGAGGTCTGGGCCCTTCCTTCCTCTGTGCCCGGCTCTCATCTTCTGTGGTTTGTGGTTTCAGTTGTTGCCTTGACTGTCAAGATCCACAGTTATGAAGACCACATGCAGAAACATCGGAAGGTAAAACTCGGGCCCGGCTCACAGCAAACACCAGCACCTGGGGGGAGGAGTCTGAGCACTGAAGTGTCTGGGTCCAGAGAAGCAGATGGAGAAGCCAGGTGGCTCCAGCACCTGAGCACATGCCCCTCACTTCCCTCCTGCCTCCGGGGGGAGCAGGAGCCGTACAGGGCAGTGCTGAGCATCACGGATGGTCAGGATCACAAGCTCTAGAGCTCAGTCACAGTGTGAGGCACACAGTGGGTGCTCAGTAAACATTTGCTGGATGCATGAATGGGTTTCAGAGTGCCCTGGGTTCAAATCCCAGCTCTGCCACTGCCACCTCTCCAGCTGTGTGACTTTGGGGAAGTGACTTTACGTGTCCCAGCCTCAGTTCTCCTGTCTGTCAAATGGGGGTCATAAGAGTCCCTGCTGAAGGTCTGTGTGAAGTCATAATGGCAGCCAACATGACGCATATATTTAGGCCTCCTGCTAAATACATGCATCAGCTCATTTAGCCCTTAGATTCATCTTTGTATTCCATTTTACAGAAGAAGAATCTGGGCATGGGGTGATGAAGTTCTCCCTCAAGGCTCACCACTAGGAAAGGACATGCTAGGACTTAAAACTTGGGGGTTTTGCTCCAGGACCCACATCCCTAACCATTCTGCCAGATCTCAGCACCATGTCAGGCACAGAGCTGCTGTCACTAGGCAACTGCTGGTATTTTTAATAAACACATAGTCGTGAACACAGACTGGTCTGACTTCATGCCTGGCACCTCATGTCCCCTGGAACCAGTTAAGCCTGCTCCTTGGAGATCACAGTTTTGTTCATTTGGAGTTTGGAACACCAGCCCCACTGAAGGAGCAGTGCCTGGCAGGGGTCTTCCTAGGCCTTCCCTCTTCTCCACCCCAGCTGACAGTTTGCTGAGCTGTGGAGAGGCTGTGTGGGTGGTATAGGGGAAGGAGCATGAGATCTGAGGTCAGACCCTCAGACCCGGATTCAAGACCTGACCTCACACCAGGTCCTGACCTACTATAGTTCTGGGACTTTTTGTCAGTCAGTTAATATCTTTGAGCCTTTATTTTCTCATCTGTAAAATACGAATAACAATGACAATACCTACCTCAGAGTTGCAATAATACTTGCTGAGATTGTTGGGAAGTTTCAACTCTGTGATAAGATGACCATCCTCTGTTACTGTGAAGTGACATACCACTTATTTATGGACCGACTCTTCACACAGGACAAAGCCCACAAGCGCTATCTGCAGATGAGCATTGACCAGAGGAAAAAGATGCTCAAAAACCTCAGAAACACCAACTATGCTGTCTTTGAGAAGACATGCAGGGAGCTGGGCCTTGAGTACACCCCTCCCCCTCTGCACCACCGAAGGGCTCACCGCCGCTTGGCGGCCAAGAAGGCTCTGTGCATTCGGGTACGAGTCAGAATTGCTGCTTTGGTTGGTCCCATTCCAGGACTCGGGTGGAGGGAGCAGAAGGGAGCTGGCCTTGTGAGGGCTCGCAGGCCACCAACCCCATGGAGAAAGGCTAGGTGACCATCTAGGGGAGTCCCCATCCCAGCAGCTCCGAGTCTGAGGTTTTGCATAGCATTACAAGTCTTTTCCTGCCCCTCTTCATCCCCAGGTTTTCCAGGAAGTTCAGAAGCTAAAGAAGCAAAAAAGGGCCTTAAAAGCTGCAGCTGCAGCAGCCCGGGAACAAGGCCAGAAGAGCCCAAAGAGCCCTTTCAAAGCCAGACCAGAGGCAACCAAAGAAAACCAATAAAGGTTGTTAAAGTTAAGTCTTGCTGCCTTGAAGAATAGCAGTAGAGAAGGCGGGGTGCTTTGCCTGAGGAGGAATTCATTCTTCCATGCAGCTCTGGGATCCCAGGGGTGTGAGGCAGAGTCCCTACCTTCACACACCACAGGGCACATTCTTCTCTAACACACCTCAGACACACTCGTGTAAACAGCTCCCTGTGGTCCAGGTGACGTTCGGTGGCGGCGAGCCTGAGTGCACAGCAGCACAGAGGAAGTGTGGTGGGCTGGCTGCCGGGTGAGGAGGCCAGCGTAGGAGCGGCCTTGTAGACAGGGCCCTGGAGGGTGAGTGGACGTTCACCGGGCAGAAATGGGGTAGGAGCGCATCCTGGGCAGGAGGAACTGCAAGTGCAAAGGCAGAGTGGACCGGTGCGTGCTATGTTCAGAGAGCAGTAGAGCTGGACAGGTGGGCTGAAGCTGGGGTATGAGAGGCTTCACGTGCTGGCTGAGGAGACTGTGCACGGTCCTCTGGGGAGTGGGGACACAGGTATGGTTTTGAAACTAAAGGAGGGGTGATAGCTAGCAGCAAGTCTGTTTCAGATAGGCGCCTGTGGTGTGGGGGAGGGGGAGAGAGCAGAGCGATTATTGTTTGGGGGAGAGAGGTATTGGTGTTCGAATTGAGAATCTGACAGAAGCTACAAGTCCTGTCCCTTAGACACAGCACACATACAAAACATTGCTTATAAATTCCGGGGAGTTATGGATAACCCCTTTCTCACAAAGCCCAACCACTCACCAAGTTGAGTGCCAAGGCCTTGCTTAGCATGTTTGAAGAACCCAAAGACAGTGTGTCCAAAACTGAGTGAGAAACGAGTAGGAAAATAAAAGGTCGAAGGGGTAAGTAGACACCAAATAATACGGAGCTTTGGGGGTGTGTTAGTCTCTTCAAGCTGCCATTTTAAAAACACCGTAAACTGAGTGGCTTAAACAACAGAAATGAATTTTCTCACAGTTCTGGAGACTAGGAAAATCCAAGATCAAGGTGCTGGCCGACTCGGTTTCTGGTGAAGAATCCTCCTGGCTGGCAGACAGCTTCCTCCTGGCTGGCAGACAGCTGCCTCCTGACTATGTAATCATGGGGAGGGAGGGAGAGCTCTTCCTCTTGTAAGGGCATTAATCCCATCCTGAGGGCCCTACTCTCATGACCTAATCTAACTCTCATTATCTCCTAAAGACTCCCATCTCCAACTGCCATCACTTTGGGGGTTAGGGCCTCAGCCTTTGAATGTGGGAAGGACAAATATTCAGTCCATAGCACTGTGGGAGACTTCAGACTTCATTCTGAGTAAGAAGGAAAGCCACTGAGGAAAGTCAGAAGGAAGATGTGGGAAAGTGATGTCCAAAGAGCAGATGGAAATTAGAGACAGGTTTGGGAGTTAACGTTTAAGGTGACTGAAGCCACTGGAGGGAGTGAAATTGCCCAGGAGTGGAATGTAAAGGCAGAAAAAAGGGCCATGTCTAGATGGGAAGGATGATCTCTGAGGCATAGCCTGAGTCAGGGGTCAGGTCAGGGTGGGGTCATGGCATAGCAGAGAGCCTGGGGTCCTGCAGAATCAAAGGTGAGATGAGGGTCAGATACCACCTCCTGGAACAGGAGGGAAGGCCTTTTATGGGGGCAAGGAGTCAGAGTGCACACAGCTATTTAGAGATACTTTGCTGGGGGGCCAGGTGCCAACAGGTAAGAGGTGCCAACAGGTGGGGAGGAGAGAGAAGGAACGCACATTCACACAGTCATGAAACAGGCTCTACAGGAAAGGCACTGTTTTAAGTGCTGCCTTAGGTGCATTATCTCATCTCATCTTTAAAACCACCTTACCAACCTGCCCCCATATTGGCTTAATTACCCTCATTTTACCATGAGAGAACTGAGGCTCAGAGAGGTTAGGCAACTAGAACAAATTCACACAGCTGGTTAGAGACAGGCAAAGATTCAAACCCACATCTGTCTTGACTCCAAAGCTCATGTTCCAATCATTATAACACACTGCCTAGGGCAAAAAGTGGTCTGAGCAGCTCTGGGAGGAATCTACACTATAGTGAACTCATGCCATTAGCAACCAGGCAGGTAATATAATGCAGGACAGCCAGGTGTAGGATAATGACACCAAGCTGCTTGTTACATTCCCATCCTAGTTCTAGTCCCTTTTAAGATAGTGCAAAGACCAGGCAAAATCAGTTCAAGCCTTGGGCTGCCAGCTTTCAACTACTGTGTAGTATCCAATGCTGAGATGTCAGTTAAAGACCAAAAAGTCTCTGTGGAGCAGTTTCAGTGGAGTGGAGAGAGCTAAACCCAGTTACAGTGAGGTGGGGAATGAGGATGTTACAGAAATTAAGGTTGTGAGTGTAGACTACTCTTAATTTTTTTTTATTGAAGTATAGTTGATTTACAATGTTGTGTTAAAGGTATACAACAAAGTGATTCAATTATACATATATATACTTTTCCAGACTCTTTTCCATTATAGGTTATTACAAGACATTTAATATAGTTCCCTGTGCTATACAGTAGGTCCTTGTTTATTTTATACATAGTAGTGTGTAAATGTTAATCCCAAACTCCTAATTTATCCCTCCCACCCCACCCCTTTCCCCTTTGGTAACCATAGTTTTCTATGTCTATGAGTCTATTTCTGGTTTTTAAATAAGTTCATTTGTGTCATTTTTTTTAGATTCCACATATAAGAGCTATTATATGATATTTGTCTTTATCTGACTTACTTCACTTAATATAATTTCTAGGTCCATCCATGTTCCTGCACGTGGCATTATTTCTTTTTTATGGCTGAGTAGTATTTCAGTGTGTGTGTGTACACACACCCCCCACATCTTCTTTATCCATTAATCAAATGATGGACATTTAAG